TGTTCTGCTGTGAGGCAGACCACAGTCCAGAACGTCCTGACAAAAGATCTGTGTCAGCTGATGCTCGGGCCGGGAAAAACAATAACTACTTTTTGCCAGTCAGCTTTCTCCTCTTTCAAAACCATGGCTAACAAGCAGAAATTGTTCTATGTTGCTACTCTCAAGCAGTCGAAGCCCTTTGATTTCGTGAGATCTTCTATAGAGATTGACTCGAACCTGCTGGTCATCGATCTTGAAGCGGCTCTGGCCGCGAAGTACGCCGAGAGTCATGACACTTTCGCTGCTAATGTGTACAAGGCTAGTTGCCACATATTTAATTTTGCGTCCAAGACTGACAAGCCTGCAGCTCAATCACCCTATGAGTCTCAACCAGGATATCGCGAATGAAGAACTTCCTGATCTCAAGACCTTGCTTGAGAAAGCGACCTGTGCCACTGCCGAAGACCTTATCGGAGAAGCATTCGAAGAAAGACGAACGCTTGTTGTCCTTCTTCACCATGATACCCTTACCGCTCCTGCTGCTTCCGTTGAAGATAGAGATGCCTCTGAGGTCAACGATGTGGTTGGTCAGCTGCGGCAAGGTATGTCTGCTGAAATCAAGTTATTAATGCGATGCTTATACTTATATGTTCGTCCAGATTTCTCAAAATATGTGAAAGGGGTAATGGGGGGTAAGACACCATCGGTCGCGGCCAAATCTTCAAACTACAACGAGATTCAGGGCTCTGATGTCCCTCTCCTCGATGGACGATTCAACGGTAGAGCTGGCGGACAGACTGCTGCACCTCCCATTGAAATCTACCATCCTGCCTTTGGTGCCTACTCCAAACGCTGTAAAGACCCTGAATTGGAAGTACCCAACGATGTTCTTTGCCATACCGCCTCATTGCTGCGATCCGTCTCCAAAATCTCAGTCCAGGAGGCTCCTAGGGACTCGGAGACGCGTGTCATATTAGCCAAGATCCTCGGCGTCTCGTGTGAGCACGTAATGAACTTAAACCAAACATTATCTGACTTGACGTCTGTCCAACATACTCTGCAGAGCATCAACGCAGCTCCTGTATTGGTCGAGGTCAAAGGTGAACTGGGCGTTGATGGCTCTGATCCATCTGTACAGGCTTCGTTCTCTTACGCCAGATTTTACTGCAATCGAGAGGTAAGTAAAACTGAGCGCCTGCGCTGCATGAAACTAATTTCCCTCTCTCCTAGCGCACTGCGGTCCGTAAAAGATCATGCTGCCCAGCTTTCCTCGTTGGTCTAGCCGGGCCATGGCTAGTCATCATGGGCGCCGTTTTGACATCCCGTGTGATTGTCCAACGGCTTTCTCCTTACGAGTGGCTCGGCTGCTCCCGTGTTCTAGACGATGATCAAGTCCTACAAGTCGCCCGGCGTCTGTACGCTCTTAGGCTATCTATAGCGGACCTCAAGGAATATTACCAAAATTTACCTTCCCCCGTTGTTCAGCCTAACCACATCCATCCTCGTTTCTGCCCGTGCATCAACTCCTTCTCCCTCGACGGCAAAGACGTGCCATTCGTTTATGTGCAACCACTCGAACGTGACCCCTCTTCCGTTATTTTCAAGGCAGTTCGATGTGACACCCAATCACCAATTGTAATCAAGTTTGCAAGACGATACGGTGAAGCTGCACATAAATGGATGGCAGACAAACGGCTTGCTCCCAAACTTCTGACATGCAAGTCTCTCGGTGAAAATTACAATGGTCTGCTTCTCGTGGTAATGGAGTTTGTTGAGGGTCAAACCCTGCATGATGCTTATGATTCCACGAAACCGCTGCCAGAATATGTACGATATGGTGTTCGGAAAGCTCTTGACGTTCTGGCTCAAGGAGATTTCGTTTTTGGAGATTTGCGCAGACCAAACGTGATGCTGGAAAATGAAAATGAAGGTGAAGAGCTTGAGGTTCCGTTGGAGAAGCGTGTTCGCTTCATTGATTTTGACTGGGCAGGCCGAGAGGGTTCAGATTTGAGGTATCCATTCCATTTGGCTTCCGTCGTTCGTAAAGCATCTGGGGCTTCGGAAAATGACCCCATCACGCGCGCGCACCAGGATAAAATGTTTGAAAAACTTTGATGCATCTTGCAATATGTAATGAGCATTTCAAGCTTTCATTCTCTCGTGAAGCATACAAAGATTCAAAGACTATTTAAAATACACAGCTGTTAAGACAGCTTGGATACAAGTAAACATGTTCCATTAGTACAGTCGGGGACGGTCAAAGTCGTCAATTGTGAATTTCAAATTTGATTAAACGCGAGTTTTCTAGGCCAAAGTAAATACAGATTTGGAATGAGCAGGACGAAATATTTTGAGAAATGCACTTCCGAAGTTTTTCCCACCACCTCTGAGGAATGACCAATTTATGGCAATTTCACCAAAATTTTCAGTATATATCTAGGTAGTAGAATCCCAAAGCATTGTTCCACTGGCCAAAACTGATATGTCTCTGCTGACCTCATTGCGCAAGCGCAAGAGGAGCATGATGCTGCCATCACACCATGTCAAGACGAGTGACCTGCCTCTTGTTACAGCTGATCTTTGGGGAAGCAAAATCCACACTAGTATTATCACTTGGTCTGGCATCTGCTGGGATCAAATTAAGATCAATTCAGTAGTAGGGAGATAAAAGTCAGAAGAGGCAAGGGAGAAATAATGAAAGCAGGTAACAGAACAAGTACCAGACTCAACGTCGAGGTTGAGAGTATGCGGCTGTTTATGGCTGTGCAGAGTTCAGGGACCATACTTAATTCGCAGATGCTAGCCTATCATTTGCAGATCTGAATATGTGGGAAAGCAGCAATGGGTCGCAACTTGAAGAGGTAACCGGGTTCAACGCATGTTCAGTGCTCACAAACAATAAAAAACCTTTACACGTTAAACTAACACTCCCGGAGCGTAACAGGAAAGCATCTCGATTTCATGTAATACTGACCAAGCAACGAGTACGAACATTAGCAGGTAAAAACATCAGGCCCTAGATTAGGCAATGGTTATGCTCTGGAAATAATGCAGGAATCTGAACCACTTACCTGGAACGGTATAATTGGTGACTGGCGGGTAGTAGATATTGATGGTGACACCAGGATCTGTCCCTGCGATGGGGAAGATAAGAATGAGGACAATTATGCCCTATCAAGCGGAATTCACTTACCAGCATAAGCACCCGGGAAACTTACGGTGCTCGGTTCAGTGTTTCCACCGCCAGTGATTTGCAGTTGGGCGCACTCCATCTGACATGTGGTACGGCAAAGAGGAAGCTCAACAGGCGTACTTATCGTGCGGATAAACAAGACTAAACTACTCACATAGAACTGGGCTCCGGGATAAGAACTCGCCGCATGCAGAGCTTTTGAGAATGAGTTAGAATAGTCTCGCCATGAGAACGATGATCAAAATGCTTACCGATAATTTCATGCCTGAGCAAATATTGCCCTGCGGGAATACATGACGGAATATCAAAAGTCACTTTCCCCTTGTTCGCAATGAGACGATCGACACCCCAAGTCTGATTAGAGGCGATATATCCATCTTCCCATATCTTGAACCATTTGAGGCCAGTGACGTCTGTCTGGGTAGCATTCGGAATTGCAGCTCTAACATACAGATTGTTATGAGATCTGAGGAGTAGAAGTCATAAGGAAACCTACAGATACGAGATGACTGGTCCTTTGTGGCTCGAGTCTATTGGATCCGCTGGGTCCGTAGGGTCAGCACCAGCGAGTGTGTGGTGCCATTCGGCAGTTACTTGGGCACCAGCCGGGACGGGGACGATCGTTTGAGATATGGGTTGGTGATATGGGTTGATCCCACCGTTACAGATGATATCTACGAGCTAAGATATGTGAAAGCTGTAGCGAAACAAGGTGTTTGTGCTCGCCGTTGGATGTAACATCAGTAATGGGCTGGAGCACCATTGAGATGATACATGAACTTGAAGGTATGTGTCAAAACGTACACCATCATAGTCCGGGACACGAATGCCATTTAATTGGCCTTGATCGACGCCATTGACGTAGAGCTCCTAGTAGACGGAAGAAACATGTCAAACATTTTTATGAATACGAGGGAACAAGAACACTCACTTGAAAAATTGTATGCGCAAAACAGTTGAAGCCAGAGATGCTGAAGAGCAAGAGTCCAGTGGCGATTGATAACGTAGGAGCCATTGTAGACAGAATTCCTTCCGAGATTGAATGCCTCATATATAACTGTGAACCACAAATTCCCCAAAGAATAGGCGCGATCTCTCAAGGATGCTCTACCAAACGTCCCGCCGAAATTTAGCCTTGGTGATCAGTAAATCTCTATTCGAAGGACGATTCTAGCGAGGGATACTCACATATGATATCATTACAAACCCGACCAAGAGATCATTTTCAATCAACCATCCACAGATTAGCGGTACGTCTCTGCATGCCAAGCCAGTAGAGGGGCTGTGAAGAGATAACGAGATTCAGCAGAGTTTTTTCCGAGTTCGGCTTGTTGGAGATTATCGGAAAAGGATAGTCATTGGATTCGGTGTGTCAGAGAAAATGAATCTTGTGCCTTTTTCAGCAGGTGTTGCAACGTTCAGAACCAATTAGAATGTGAAATTACGCAGAGAACTGGCGAAGCTAACTTTCGATAGTGATGCCGTCAGTCGAGCAGCTCAATCGAACGTTAGATTGCGGTTGTGTCAACGTAGTCTAGCTCTCGTTCCTGTAACGTCTGGAAACACCTTCAGCGACCTGTTTAATTCATGATTTAACAAGGACCTGATGGTAGTCGACAACGAATTCACACATCTTGAACAAATTCATGGCCTGTGGGGCATTGGGAAGATAGTAAAGTAGCAGTTAATGGCAGTTCTGATATTCTTTGTGGTACCAGAGGGTACCAGTTTGCTTTTCAACTTCGGGTTGAGGTTCAAAAAAGGCAAGAGGCACGTGGTAGCGCATCGGGCGCCAGGTAGCTATTTTAAGAAATAGCAAAACGGGATATGTCCCTGGGGAGATTCGAGCTCCCGGCTTCACGGTTTGTAATAATGCTACCACAACGTGATGATTTGACCACTAATCGACAGGGACGATTGTCTACTGCCTTTGACAACTCGGGACCGTTTCCTGCCCCAGTTCTTCCAATACGATATGAATCGGTCAGAATTGCCTAACCAAAACACTAGCATTGACAAAGAAGGCACACGAGACCTGCAGAACGGATGCGAAGTAGTGCGTAAAAAGTTCAATGGTCCAGGTCAAGGTAGATACAAGGGGTAATGGACAACAACTGAACAAGAAAGACTACGGCCAGTTTAAATTGCATGCGGGGTATACAGACAGAAACCTCTCAAAAAAGAGGCACCAACGATCAATTATCAGCTGTTTCTGGATATGCTAGCTCTTCGCTCTTCATTTGTCCCGCCTCCAGCATCAGAGATTCGTTCCGTGGTCCATGAAGCTCTTTGATCTCGAAAGTAGCAGCAACTGGTTTCTTGCTTGCGAACTTTGCCCGGGTACACATAATCGTCTTTGCTAGTGCGAACACGATGCAGGCTGCAACGGCGATACCAATAATGTAGCCAATGAGGAGTGAATGCGATGTCGAAGGGTCGAGGAATGGGTAAGCTGATAGACAGGACAAGTTAGACAGACTATACATACAAGGATGATATTTGTGAGAAAGTAGGGTAAGTAACTTACGATAAAAACCTTGAGTCGCATGGGTGATGTACGCTAGTGCTAAGTAGAATGCAAGAATGATGATCATGCACGGTAGCATAGACCACCGCGGCGGGGGAGAATTAGTTCCGATCATTTCGAAAAGCGACCATACGGTGTTCAGAACGTGAATGGACAGATTTGACCATGCTGAAGAGATTACATCAATCATTGCTCAAAAAAAATCAATGCGATATTGATGAACGGACCCGAGAATGTGGTAGAAAACACAGATGGAGATGCGAGGAGAGCCCAGAAGACGATAGTGACTAGAATGGCTGCGTCAAGAAAAGTTGGTAATGCTAGAAAATTCGAGGCTGAAGTTGGATCGCGCACGATATGAAATGACGGTCGTTTCCAACATGATATGCAGCAGCTGAAAGATCCTTGGCCATCTCTGTAGTGGGTACTCTGGAATAGTCTCGGAGGAGCGTCTTTGGCAGAGAGCATAACCACAAGTTTGAACGAATGAAGCCCAATAGTACGAGCAGATACCGATGTAGGTGAGCTCCGTGAAATACGAAAAGTAACTGAAGGGAGAAAAACCAGGCTAGAGAGGATTTGAATGCCAGAAAGAGTAAGGAACGTACCCATCCGCGTCATGTAACACATTAACTTCCCAAATCAAGATAACAACAAGTGTAGTCAGGGTATAAAGAGCAATCGTCCCTCGTATAGCAGCCAAAACCCCGGACGAGAACCAAGGTGAAGTGACGTAGGCCCTTTGGGTATCAAATGGCTGAGGCGCACCTAAAGAATTGTGAAGATTGAAGCGCATCCTAGTACGCGTTGAAGAAGAGTCAGCTTGAGATAGTCGAAATGGCTCAGGAGTGCGTTGCCCAGCAACCACAGTGACAGAAAGCAAAGCTCCAAACTCCAGCGAGGAGAAGCAAAAATCACGGGCCGTAGAATAACCGGAGAGCCCCGCGGAACGATAATAGTTGAGAACGAGCAAAAGGGGTTCAAAGTAAACCTAGAGAGAATACTTGGAACAAAAAACAACAACTTAGGTATAAGGAAATATTTGACCCATCGTTCATCTTCTTCGGTACATCACTTGTCACGACCATCATCAAAAGGTGCGTAGCTTCCTGATCGCGCGTTCAGATCACAGCTGAAATTTTATGTGTACGTCTGTCATAATATAGTCCACCATAGGAACCATATGCTACAGTATTTAGCATGATGCTTGTTACCCGCCAGAAATGATGACTATCTTTAGGTCAGACTCATGAAAATGAACAGAAAGTTAGCACAAATCCTTCACTAAGAATATTTAGATGGTCATTGGTTAGAGAGTCCTTTAACATACGCCGCACAATGAAAGCTCATTATGGCACATTCCAGAGAATGAAATGAGTCAGAAACACCATATAAAGTAGATCTACGAAATTGATCCCACTGACAGACAGGTGAATACCGAGCAGTGCATTGTCATCCAAGAGCAACATTCTGACCGTGACTGCCCCAAGTCATAATCGATACCATTGGATACAACATATCCAGCTCAGAATTCAATGGGGCATTGCTACCAGCGACGATGAGTTACGATCATTACTTACGAGTAGTTGTCTAGCCTGAGGACTGTCGTGATGGTACAGATTTGCGAGGACTAAATACCTATGTAAGTACACACGAAACCTGAAGGTAGCGATGAGCAAGTATCTATAGTTGTACAAAGCGAAGACGAGTTCTGAGGGTAGTCCGACGAAAACATGTACGTATAAATAGATAAAAATGTAAGTTACGCTAGTGAGTAAATCCCGCTTGATAGGGCATAAGTAATTGTCCTCATTCTTATCTTCCCCATCGCAGAGACAGATCCTGGTGTCAGCATCAATATCTACTACTCACTAATCACCAACCGTTCCAGGTAAGTGTTCATATTCCTGCATTATTTCCAGAGCATGGACATTGCCTGCCAGTGATCTAAGGCCCGATGTATTTACTTGCTGATGAGTGCTACTTCCTCGTACTCGTTGCTTTGTCAATATTACGTGAAATCGAGATGTTTTTCTGTTACGCTCCGAGAGTGCTACATAGCGTAAAAGATTTTTGCTGTTTACGTGCGTTGAATCGGCTACCCCTTGCGACCCGTTGCTGCCTTTTACGATTCAACATATTCAGATCTGCGAGAAATAGGCTAGCATTTGCGATCCGTAGGGCCCTTGAACTTTGCACAGCCATAGATAGCCGCATATAAACCCCTTGGTAGCTCTCAATTCACTCTCAACTCGACGTTGTGTCCGGTAATCGGTCTGTTAGCTTTGATTATTTTTGCCTTGCCTCTTCTGACTTTTATCTCCCCACTGCCCATTGATTGAAATTTGACTCTACTCGAAGACTCAAGGCGCTTTGGAGATAATTTGCTGGTCAAAGTTATCCCAATCTATCACTGGACTATACTAGTATGTATTCATTATCGAGCCTTTGGTAAACTCTACTGAATGACCTCCTTCAGTCAACGAATTTTCTGATTTCTACCCCTGCACATTCGTCATCCCATTCTCCGCACTCTCAACCTGAGCTATGCGCGCGACACTTTCCCTTTCCCTTTTGTGCCTGCTCTGGGCATTCTTCCCGTCTATCAATCATCTTGGGGTGATAGCCATTCCAACGCCCCCAGTACCGGCCTTGCATGGTCTCGAATTGTTGCCTTGTCCCCGTAGGTTTGAGTTTTCTGACTTTACCATAACATCATCTCATCAAGTTCGTTCAAAAGCGGGACTTGTAAACGTTCCCATAGTTTTGAGTCGCGGCGCTTGGCGCAATGACGAGAATATAAACATCCGATCAGACGAAAAGTGGACTCTCTTCGTAGGCTCATATGCTTTTCGACTCAAAAATCATCAGACCAGTCGTGTATCTCAAACCCCGCCCAGGGAAGGTACGCTGATAGGTCACGTCACGTTCACTGATGCCGATCATAGGCGAGAAGTGTGGAAAGCAATGACCCAGATTCAGGGAGCCCAAACCAACTTGATATACATCGTCCTTGCGCTCGCCAAACTGGAACAACTTGCAGTTCACCTCAAATTTCACGACAACTCGAAATATTATGACGTAATGCTGAAAATGTTTCGTGCAAAGGGCACTGCAGATGGAGGTGTAATTTCGGGCGATGAAACAACAAAGGCGTATGAAAACATTGAGTTTTTGTTAGAAAAGGCCCGCCTAGAAAAATTGACTACGAAGGAGTTGCAAGACGTTGCGGATAAATTACTTGTTATAGATTGAACGCCCTGTAGTCATTTGGAATCTTGGAGCCATGTGTTTTGGTCAGTGGAATATAATGGACTTTGATCCCAACTCCCATCATTGTCAACGCTCCCGAGGCTTTTTCATGCCGCGGTAGCAGAAGGCCTGTTGTCAATGCCATTTGCTTGTCCTTACAATTCAAAGAAATACAGAATGAGAAAGAAGACATTGAACATAGCTTCGCAGATAAATGACCCACTCGCACTACCGCTGCTCACCCTGCCCCCTCGCACCTATGCCTCCAAAGTTCCCACATCAGGCGATACACTGTGCATGGCGGCCACACCTCGCGATGACCTGGGCTAGGCTTATTCGCGGTTCACCTTTACAGTTGGGAAAATAGTCAGCCGCTGATCCTGCCAAAATAAGGCCAGATACTCTGACTTTTTCCCTCAAGGTTTTTAGGATGGCCAATCTTCTGGGAAGTTTCATCAAAAATTTACAGTATGTATTGCTGTTAAGACTGTGCCAGTGAGGTTCTGTAGAGTCTTAGAGGGATAGAGTCAAATCAAAGTGAATCAAGAGTAATCGAGTTGAGTCAAGACTTTAGTTTATAAACAAAGTCTCGGACAATAATCCAATGATGCAATTCAGAAGTATCAGTCAGTTGATTGTTACAGAAGGATGATAGAATTGAACTAAAACCTTGACACTACTTTTGGTAGTGCCCCTGCTTTGTCATATGGTTCGGTGATTGTTCAGAGTGATGAGAAAGAAGATAATGATGTCTGGATGGCATTTGGTTATAGTGCAAATGTTATCAAATAGAGAAGAGAGTTCCAGATGGAGTTCAGCAACAATCTAGGTTGATATTTAAACTGGAGAACTATTTACAAAATGCTACCTTATATACATTGTATCCTAATTGTTAAATCTATAACAATAAGAATTCTAATTAAAGCAACAATGATTGTGAATGGTTCCCACTAATAGACTCAAAGAACAATAGTGTGAAAAAACACTCATATCTGAACATTGGATACTTCATGAGGTTTATGTTAGGAGCATGCATCAGCAAAATTGGAAATGTATAATGTGTATGATGGGTGTAACAGTATGATGATCCGCCTCCATCATACCAAATTATACATCAGTCATGCCATGAATCCAAT